CTCTTAATCAAGATAAATAAAGGTTTAGTAAACTAGAGTCGGTGCATGGTAATTTTGTGACATGGAAATACATGTTTTAAAGCAACGCGTCTCATATTAACCATTCGTCTTCATAATGAGCTGCAGCTAACGTTCCGAGTCTTGCCAAGTGTCTTGAAGTCAGATGTAAGTTGTGAATTGGTCGAAATTTTGTCGGCAGTTGTTCAAATGAACCGACGTAATGCTTACGATTACTTAAAAGGGACCATGCATAGAAACCACTGATAAGATAATTTAGCGAAATTTAACTATTCCACCGAAGTGTGGGTGCTACAAAGCCACACCCAAGCCTATCTTGGGTGCTGGGAGAATTGCTCGTCAGTCAGTGTCAACTCCAGAATTGGTTTGGAGCTGGGCAGCACGTTAGAACCATAAGAAAACACTACGATGTTTGTGATGATACATGAAAGGATTGGCACACTTAGAGCCGCGAAATTATGACAAGGTAGTAGCCTTAGGCCTCCTCGTACGACGATCGCCTCCAATTGGTAAGGTATCATATTAAAGCTATTCAGCTGTGTATTTAAAGTGACCTCATAACAATAATCGACTGTGCATTTCAAATATCCGTTGATAATAAATCTCTGGCTGGTTAAGATTACTAGATGCATCCGCAATTTAGTCTGAGCTTGTTTCAGTCTGACTAATCGTTTTGAGCTAATTCTGTCGGTGGTAATGAAAAATAAAATTGCTCTAAAAGACACTAATGCGAAATAACTAACGGCTTTGATTAGTGTTGTTCATTTTTAAACGCATAACAAAATGTATTCAATCTGGAAGCGAAAGATTCTGCCAAATTAAATGGTAATTTATTGTGCATTTAATTAGGATAAGTAGATTCCAGTTAACCTTGGTATTAGTGCGGAACTGTAACAGTTTCCGACACTGACATGTTGAGATGATTGGTCCACGAACGAGGTGTTTGTTTACTCACCGGATTTAAAAAGTTCCTGTTTTAAGACGAATAATCAGGATTGGGCTTGCGTCTGCTTTGGAGATAACTTGCCTGTCCCAAATGCAAATGTGAATATATTATAGCGTATCCTCTCAAACAACCAGTTTTGACTCCGGATTCCGATGCGAGAGACGATTTGTGAATGTATCTTCCTTTGGAGGCAAATCGCATATGTCGAATCCACGTTGTGTGCTGTTTATCATTAAAATAAACTGGACTTGGGGTGCCTTGACGTATAGCTCCATGTCGTAATGGGCAAAAAAACCCATTTTGCTACGCAACGGAACGTCTTGCAGGCAGACTCGATCAGTGGGATCAATTCGAAAAACATGGGGATGCCTCAAACTGGACTATCACTTTAACTTTTAGCCTAATTGAACCAGCAGAAGTCGGATTATCTTCAGCAACAGGCACTGAGACTATTAAGGGTCGGTGGAACCCATCGTAGTTGCGAGAGAGATGGGTTGATGAATTTCTTATCGGTAACATACAGACTGCTCTAGTGAATAATAGCATGTATAGAATTCCTAGGCTCCTTGTGTTCACTTGGAGATCATTTAGAATTCAGTAGTGAAGCTGTCCAGAAGAAATATACCATGGAGTCGACGAAAACTGCGTTTAAGAATTTGTCCATCAACGAGCTGTGAAATGGCACACTTGTGTCGCCCGTAATGCCATCATGGCGCCTTGCGATGACATCCTTGGTGGACGAATCGTGTATGGAATTGCTTTAGGCAATTTTGAAGTGGAGAGGATCCGATCACTCTGGACTATCATCTTCATCCACAGGACCACTTGGAGTGCTATGATAAACCACATAAAACCTCAAGGACGTGAGAGATGCTCGGAATCTCGACAAATAAGCCTCACATAAATTGAGCGAAGCATGGAGACAGTGGAAGAGTGGGGTATGGAGTTGGCTCCGTTCGGGGAATAGCACTACATTATATGTGATGCTCAAGTACAATCAGTACCGATGGATGGATCACCTACGGCAACAAAAAGCAATAGACACAGTAGGTTAATCGTTGCGAACATGCATGGCATATTGAAGCCGCGTTTACATGCTCAAAGACCCATAGTGACCATCTGGTAGACTCGTAAGGGCAGAGTTTGCCTTGTGCATCACATGGTATGAATGGGCCCTTCAATGACCTGTAGGCATAGATTCGTTCTCCTCGACAGCGCTAAACCGAATGTAGCGCACATAACCTTGCAAAAGGAGGACGGCGTAAGCAACCGAATGTGGTCCCATCCACCACACTCGTCTGTTATTTCATCAACGTTTTAACACTTATTTCGGCTTACTCCGCTCTTAATGGAACTAACGATTATGACTGCTTAAGTTGGATTTTGTGGAATCGATTAGCACTGTTATACTCAAGTAAATAGCACAAGTGCAGCGACATTTCATATAGTTCTATTAATCCGAGAAAGTCATAAAGGTCATTTCTTTCGACACTAGATGATAATAAATGAGTAAATTACCTACTTTTGCGGCTTTGCTGTAACTGTGGCTTGAGTGTTCTCTGGTGGATGACAATTTGCTTGAAACATATCTAGTAATTTTGCTTAAATCGGCGTCTTCATATGAAAGTTCTTCAGTGGATTTCGCTTCCCCTGGTTTAAAGAGACACCAAGTTTGTAATTATTTGAACAAAACGTATCCCACAGCAAGTGGCAGTGCTTTAAGAGGATTTCAAATACTTGGGTTTAGTCCCGCTGCAATGGTAGGTAGCCGCTTTAACAGTGAATTGGTTTGTTTTGCAACCGCATCCATCAAGTGTGCTCTTTGCCAATTAGATCAAATGGCCTCTGCATGTGACTTACCTGCATTACCTTCAAGTACTCCCGTTAGACCCGGCGTCAAGTTTGCTTTTACTGATTGATCTCTAGCGCGACTTGTCGATTCGCTGTACTTTGTTTTACCCAGGTACGCTAACCTGATCGATGTAGTTCGAATGACATATCGCGAGGAGGGCTTGCGTTCCCTTTATCGTGGCTTTACCCCGGCCCTTGCTGGAATTCTTCCATACTCGGGCATTGCATTTTACACCTTCGAGACTCTCAAGGAGTGGCGAATCAGTGAGTTTAGCTTTTTCTAAATTGAATGGTTTTACTCGACGTCATAGAATGTCATTGTGACGTGTGGGGGTGACCACACCGACCGAGACTGGTACACCAGATTTCCATAATGCGAGACCCTCGGACTATCGCAGCCAGCGTATCCCGGCGTTGGCTTCCCATGCTAAACTTTGGTTCGCCCTCGTTGGTTATGCTCACCATTTTTACTTGGTTTTACTATATCACTGTGTCGAATTGTTATGCAGCCGCTCTCACTGTTGTTGCTTGTATTGTCACACCCCTTCTCAATGACATTTTGATTAAGGCCAGCGGTGTGCTCTTTTATGGCAGTCAAAGGGGCGAATTGGTTTACTACCAGAGGAAATGTAAAACCTGGGTCATTACATCGTGGGCTCAAGAAATCAATAGCCTCGGAGAAAAAAATCGATAGTATTTTCAGGTTGTTTGTACCAGCGGGACTACTTATTTGCCCCACTTTGCGATTCGACAGATGTATAATATTTCTTGATAGGGGTAGCAAGGCCACTGCAGTTGCAACTGACCAGACACTGCAACTGCACACTTTTTTCCATGACAAATGTTTGTCCCCACCGCCGATGACATGTAAAGTATTTCTGCCACGCAACGTTTAGTCCTAAGTAGAATTATTTTCAACTTTAAAGGAAAGAGAATCATGCCCGATGGTCAGCCCCCGAAGAAGTTGAGGCCTGTAGAGAACCTGTTTTGTGGAGCTCTTGCTGGTGTTCTGGGACAGACCGCTTCCTACCCACTGGACATTGTCCGGCGACGAATGCAAACGGCAGGCGTTACTGGTAAGGCTTTTTGCTAGCTTCCCAGTTAGCTGAGCACACTTTTGATTAATTTGGTTAATTTGATCCACACGTTCCGCTCTCACTTTAAAGTTTAGTCTATGGCATCGTGGCCGCTAAACCTACCAGAAACCTGCTTGACTTTGAGCTATTTTTTTCCAGGCAGCTCAAATGCTTAAAGGGTTTATTTTATGGGGTTGTCAATTGACTCCAAAAAGAGTGCAAATGTGTCTGGTCGGGAACAAAGGCTCGGTAAACAAGAGAGCCTGCGAGACTAAGTATGCGTTTATTACATGTCTATTTTTAGTGTGGTTTTTGTCTCACAGACAATTGTTCTGCCTCAAGAGGTTGGGACTTGTGCTCACGAAACAGGTAAGCGCCTTCGAAATGTGTTAAAAGCTCACTTTGGAACATGATATGGTAGCAGAGCACAAGGTTCAACGTCTGTCTGTGCAATATCATTGTTCCACGGCCACCATCTGCTTGCAAAAAGTTATGCAAATCTATGCCTTGTCCAGCGGTCATGTAGCAGGAGCCTCTCGTGTGAGACCTTAGACCGTGGGCTACCTAAATTGCGAAGGTTCTGTCTTAAGGAATCTAGAGAAGTACTTATGCACTTATTTGACAAGCAGGTCACTTGTCGCCATGTTTTCCTCCACCTACACCGTTCCCTGTCGAAGAACCAAACCCTGGCCTGACAAAGCAGCATTTGATGTGGCTACCTGTACGCCATGCAACCTTCCCCTAGCGATTTAACTGTCGGCTCACGAAGCGGAAGCTTATTGGCGTGGTGCAATCTATGAAATCATGGCATCCGATAGTTCTTTTCTTATTATGGATTCAAAAGCAATGCTTCCCGCGTAAATGGTCAGCCATAAAATACCACGTGCAAGGGAATGATTTCACCGTGAAGAATGCTGTTTATTGAAATAGGACTTCGCCAAAGTTGTTTTCACCTTCGAGTGCTCGTCAGCAGGCCCTTGACAAACCACACGGGTACCACCCGAGATAAGGAAGCGCTGAATTTTTTGCATTCTCGACCGATGTGTTTATGCTCAGGTGGTGCACCGACTGAATCAACAAAGTGTCTAAGTAGCATCCAACCTCTGTAACACTCGGAGGGGCCACTTTTAGTATTTTAGTGATAAGTGCTGCATCTCGGTTACTTTCGATAGTACACCTGTGTTATGAGTCCAATTGTTCACATGATCGTTGTTATTCGACTCACCTTAAAGCGTCCACGTCCCTAACTGCGCCGATGCGTAGTGCTTACGCGTTTTCAATAGCCGTCTGGATATCAGGTGCAACAAGGGGCCGCTTCGAATTTTATAATGAAATGATAACGACGCCGTAATGAGTGACTGTTTCTCACTTAGCCGTGCCACTTTTACCGTCAGCACTAGGCTAGCTTTGGGAGTCTACCGACCTCTGGCTTCTAGGTTCATTACCCTAGGCAAGACTGAAGAGCAGACTTGATGGCACATCTGAGCCCCTATTTTCGTTTGCGTGTCCCGAGTTAATGATTATGATTTGTGGGGACGCTACAGGCATAAGGTTTAAGATACACCTCAATTCCAGTAGCTTGTTTTCCATCCGGGGACGCCTTGAGTCATAACGTCCCGATTTGTCATCCACCAGGATAAAGACCTGCAAAACTAGTATTTGGAGTGACTCAAGTTTAAGATCTTCCTTACTACGTGGTTTTGGTGGTATTTGGCTACGCAATGAGAGTTGCCAGAGTGCCTACCTAGAGATGAACTGTAAATTTTGGCAGTTCTATTTACAACGACAAGTAGCAATTGTTTTAACTATATTAACTTGTTTTTAAAACACGTTTTTACTTTTCCTTGAAGGCCATCCAGAGTACACCCAAAGTATCCTGAGCACGATGAAAATAGTCTATCAGCATGAGGGTTTATTCCGTGGACTTTATAAAGGCGTAACGATGAATTGGATAAAGGGTCCAATAGCGGCTGGCGTCAGTTTCACGACCTTCCACCAGCTGCAGCACCTCTACTCCCTGTGGCAGAATCTCGAGGAACGGCCCACCACTTGACCTGATTTTTGCTGATGCACTTCCTTTTGTATTGCAGAAAGTTTTCTCTAGTCAGCGCCTAGGTCCTTACTACGTCACCTCCCCTACCTTCTAGGCTTTCCTGTACAGTTATTTTAGGTCTTGTATATTTTGTGCCTTTTCCATGAGTCAGTATAGATTCTTGAGAGTATTTACTTCAGCTTTTGCTTTTCAGTCGATTAGTGTGCGAGGCATTTATTTGAATGACCCCGTTAGATATTGTGTTATCGAAGACATAGCAGTGAATTCAATTGACGAGGCAGATTCCGTTTTTGAATCATCACCAGTCGCAGTTCATATATGAATGAAGGAAATTCAAGTAATGAACTCATTCACTACTTGTCATCCACCGATTTAAACCACAAGTTATAAGGCCTAAACTGAGTTGTGTTATTCTGCGAAACCATAACAGTTCTGTTAACAAATTCTGCATTCAGGTGGATGCAAATGAGGTTCCGTGCAACTATCTTGAGATGATTGGTTTTAATGAGATAAAGAATTTGAGTCAACAACTTATGACACCTCATACCGCTCAGCTACAGGCGATGTAGCATACGCATTCTTGGTGATTCTAGGACTTCATGAGCTTTGGCCACCTAAGATGTATTCCACAACTACCTATTTTTATAAGTAGGTAAGAAGACATATTTGTACAAAATGTCAGCTGGATCATTGCGATGTCACTGCCGTGATAAGTTGTATCAGTCCAAATATCACAGAAACGAGTAAAGGGGAACATCTAACTAATGGAATGGCCTGAAGCTTGGTTATGCGCTAGATCTGAGGTGCTATTGCGGAGCCATTTTCTCATGTGTCCATCGAAACGGACTGCAAGCACTGAAAATTAGTAAATAATTTAGTGTACATTTCATCCTGGTTCACAAACGGACTCGGGGTCAAGGTGAATGTCCAGGGATGCTCACAACTGTATGGAAGAGAAATAGCACACCAGATTCCAGAAATTTGTAGTGGGGACGTTTAGTTATATTAAATTTCCATGAACGATTCAGATTCGTCTTGCGAAAGGATGTGCGTTGGTGCTTGAGCATGGCCGTATCCGTTCTCGGTGTAGTTCCCGTAGTCACAAGCGTCCTTAGACGGTGTCTCTGGTGGCACAACATATCGGCACGAGGATGGCTGTGGTTGAGGATGACGGATGTCGAGGGAACACACGGGCATTGTGATGGGGCCCGAGTAGATGTCGGTATCACGTTTGGTCGCAGTGATATTGTTATTCAGGACTTCTGCTATATTCGGGCAGAAGCGCAGGATACCGCTATTGTCGCTCTCAGAATCTGGCTTCGAATGCGCTTTCTTGAGGAGTGTGTGTTGTTTTGGATCCAGTCGCGATGGTTCTGGAAATCGTCGAGATATTTGATTAAAGACGAAGCAAGATGAACTCAAATTCTTTGTGTAGTCAACGGTAATAATGAAAATGAAACCTTGCGTGTTTCTCTAGTGGTGCCATTCAAGCAGGTGTTTTTATCACCAACTTAGCTGGGCTCAGACACCGGTTCTCAAAATATCTCAACAGAACATCAAGGGATCATGAAAGAGCATTAAAAACACCTAAATTTTTGCAAGCACGTCTAGCTGTGAATGCACGACTTGTAGCATGGAGGCTAAGCCTGGTATTACCGAAGGAAGTCTGTCTAGATACCGAAACCAGTCATTTGGCACACAGACCACATTTGCGTGCACTTCTGTTACTTCATTATTGACGTTGATGTAGAAGGATGAAGTGCCACCATAGGCCATTTCTTAAGTACCATTTTCAATGTGGTTCAAATACCACCTCTTTCCGTTTTAGCCCTGTGCCGTACGCGTGCCCACTACGGAGCCAGGCTTCAGACAATCCTCCAAGGACCCTGAATTCTTAATACAAAAAACTACTCATGAGGGTTGCGGAATAGCTAATCACCGGTTCTCCCTCGCCCTCTGTCCTTTGATCATCAGGCCGAGCTGCCAGCTGGCGCAGGCTGTGGTGCGCACTCGCACACGTCAGCACTTTCTCCCCAGTGAGAATGTCTTTGTACGCGCCCTCTTGACGTCCCACCGTCCCCGCCGCCGCCACCACCAACCCAGCCTGGGTGCAGGGGACACGCCAGCACCGGAAATTAGCTGGTGCCTACGCACATCGTCGTCTCTCGAACCGACATGCAACTGCGTGTAAAGATTTGGAAAATTCTTCCTTTAAATCTGTGATGCTTTGGCCAGGAATGCAAGGGGCACGTGTTTCCAAATAGACTGTGTAGCTATTGCAGCATGGTAATCGGAGTTTCATGGTCTTGCCCATGGTATTAATTATGTGGCATTTCGATTGCACCGTCTAACTTTTGTATGGTTTCTGCTAAAACGCATCAAGGCGAATCGCGATCCGCGACCCATCGACAAGCTCTCATATCTGAGATGAGTATAATTCATGCGCATTACCAGCTCCCAATGCAAGAACTTCCACAAATTCGGCTGAATATTGGTCAAGGTATTCATTTTCATGCTGGAATATCTGACATCTAGGCCTCTAGAGGCTTTTGGGAGACAGACCTGACCCAGTGTTAACTCCGAGTGGATAATCCTGATTGGACACTTCTAGCGTGTTTTAATGGCGGAAGTTTCATTAACTCGTATGCACTTATTTCGACAGTGTGTCGAACCTAATCGAACTACTGGGGATTTCAAAATGACTGGAAACCTTCGCACATGAATTTCGGTGCGCGTCGGAGTCTATTCGGTTGACCGGTATGTGAAGGGTGTTAAATAATTAATTTCCAGTTTGAATAATTTATGTGGGATGCACTGAAATAAAGGGGATGACTATAATTGAACGATGTATAGGCGTTTTTATTGATTGGATCATCAACGTATTGATAAAATGTTTCACATTGGTGAAACCTGTGAGACAATGGTAGCCTGAAAATAGAATAAAGTCTCATTGTGCTAAGTTCAGGCGTTGATGTGTCGAAACTCGAGAAAAGTGTTAGAAGGGATTAGGTTGTTTTATTGACTCAGATTTAAACGGATTTTTTCAGATGGTCTTTAAAAATCTTATTAATTACAAGTTACATGAAGTTAGGAAACTTCAAATAACTTATATTTTCGTCATTTTCTGCATTGTTTAATAAAGCGCATTTTCGAGTTTTCGTCGCATTTATGAGGTTTGATTTGTACGCATTGTTTTATGTACGTCAAAATGCTTTCTGTTGGATCTGATGCCGAACTTGGTAATTGACAAAAGGTTACAGCATGCACCGGAAACTGGCATTTTCCACTTTCTTAAAGATCTGACAGTGTCATATCTCACCTACTCTTACCTTTACCCCTTTATTTTCTCCGTAGACAGGTTTAGGAATCTCAGTAATGCAGACCGTTTCTTTTCCAACTTGTAACCTTCGAAAAATTAGTTCCTAGGTTTTACTTAACAGACTGACTAGTAACGAGCTTTATAAGGACTTACTCTGACCAAATCTATAGATTTCCTCATTTCCTCCATCACTGCGATTGTAACCAGAACAACTCAGCCGTTGTTGCTCCTCCAAATCTCCTGAAGAAACTGCCCTTGGAAACGAGTGCTGGTGTTGGTGGTTTTGCCTAATCAATTCCGTGATACTGAAGGTTCCCGGAGGGACAGGTGCTAAGTGTGGTGGGATGTGCATTAGCGCCTGTTGGAGGAGAAGATCACGGGGATGCAGCACAGAATGTAGAGCATTCATGTCGTGGGGCTGTCCACCAACATCTTCCACCAGAGCAGAGGGTATGTAGTCAGGATACCATGCATCATCTTGTCGACGAAATGTAGGAAGCTCCATTGATGATGGTGGATAGGAACCAAACATAGACTTCTGCTCCTGGACATCTACAATCGTTTCCGAAGATGCGGGTGGAGGCCCGTGGATAAGGTGAAGACAGTCAGTGTACTTGGCATAGGGAGGCGAGAGTGACAATGGCTGGTCCGTTTTCAGTTCGTTCTTTAAGGATGAGACCAGAGTTAATGGGGTCTGCTGGGGTTGGGATGGTGAGGGACCAAGCAGTGGGGGACGCTGAGTGTTTCCACGGCTAGAGGAGCTGCTTTCGCCACTTTGGTCGCTAACAGGATAACGTGTGTCCTAAAGGCAAGTAAAGGTAGCCTTTCAAGTCCCTGTCTCGCCGCCTAATGAATTCAAAGAAATGTAGCAATTACAGTTGATTTTTATACTTATTGGTTACTTTAACGACAATTGTGCTTGGTCCAAATTGTAACCTTTATTTGAAGGCTAAGTCATGATTAACATCGTTAACATAACAGCTTCGAACTGAACTGTGGATCGTATGTGTCCGAAAAATTGGACGCCCGTTTTTATATTTGCATTCATATCAATGGATGATTCACCACTCCAATGGAGGTGACCCTGAGAAACTGATGTTTTAATTGCCGAACGAAGAGTTGCAGGTTTTCAAACCACTTACTGTCAGAGAATAGATAGTTTATGGTACCAATTTGCGTTATCGGTAAATAAACAAGTCTTGGACTTGTAGGGTTTGCACTACCTTACAATCGTATTCATGGTTTCGGTCCGTAGAACCGGGGAGGAAGTAGGTGACGCCAGGAACACGGGTGCAATTCCTTCCGCTAGTTGATCAGAGTGGAAGGGATTGTACAAATGTGCACATAACGGTAAATAAACAAAAACCTAAAAAAATTAATCCGTGAGACTGTGAGCAGCTCCCTAAAATGTCCAGCAAACGTCATTTACCACGACAAGGATGCTGTGAAAGTCCTCAACAGGCTATTTGCACATACCTTTGTCCGGCTTTTGTAGCTGAGATGCAAAGCATCTGGGTTGAAGTGCGTTTGAATTAGTAATGAACTTATCAATTTTTGAAGTGTATGTCCTTGGATTTAAGCCTCAGTTCTGTTTCGACCTGTATTCTTAAATTAGTAAGTTGATGGACAATTTAAGTTTCCTCGTACAAACAAGGGTTCACGTAAAGAGCGTTCGACTGCTTGGATGTAAGTGGCTTTGATAACGGGACAAATATGACTATTATCCATACTAGGTTTTCAGCCAGAAGCATTAATGGAGTTCGCGAAGGTGGTGAGTCTGATACTGATAACGGAATACCGAAGAGGCTGCAGGCTCAAATCCACATCTGTATCCTCTATTTGTCACGCATTGGCCCACTTTCTGTAGTTGCGTTTTCTAAATAATGTGTTTTAATTAGCTTCGTTCAACATTAAGTCCCAATTAGATCGAATGTCCGTGTATTTAAAGCAGTCAGGACGCTAAATTGTCACGAACCTTTTCAAGAATCAACCACCTATTTGCCAAAACACATTCTGCCACATCCACTATTGTGGGCGCACCAACAGATTGAACTGGTTGTCAAGTCGTGTAATACTACTAACTGCTACTACTACTATTGCTACCACATTTCTATCGCTACCCTATTACTAAATGCAGAAACCGCAAATATTTGAATTGGATAAAAAGCGATTGGAAAGTGTACTGCCAATTGATCATAAATCCATTACTAACCATGATCCCCCAAATGCACACATTCTCAATTATTTGTTACCTTATGTCAACTTTCTTGTTTGTACTAGATCATCTTATGCACGAGTGCTAGTAGGTTCTGTTTAACATTTTTGATATAATGAGGATTGATTGAGGTCGCTGATGCGACACAGGTTGACATTTTAGCTCATCAAACAAACACAGGTGTTTTTTTTAAGATGATATGTCGGTTTCTTTTGTAGCCATAGACTTATGCAATGACTGGACACTAGAATGTCAGTTTGTGGGCGACTGTGAGGCCAAACAGAAGTTGCCAAACGGGCATAAATTAATTCTGATAGAGGTTCTACTTTGTCAGGATCCAGAAATCCATTGTAAAGAAAACTAGGAGACGGTCTTATAGTAAAATGCACATGTTAGACCCAGCGGACGATTTGCTCACTTCAATACCTGTTTTCTTAACAGTTAATTAGTACACGGTTGATTAAGTGCATTACTTTCGAATAAAGCCCCATTTATGGACATTTGTGAGTACCTCTAATACAACCCTTGTTTATAGAGCAATTATTGGAAAGGAAAAACGAATTACTTTTGTTCACTTATTTTTTTTTAAATTCAAAAGCGAGTGTTCAAGGAATATCAGTCTTTAGATGCTGATTCAGGTTGATAACACTAATTTCCTATCTCAGAATAATTTTAAATCAGCATTTAATTCCTGCATGATAAGCTTACCAATGACAAATTTAAACCTTATTATTTTGGTTAGAATGTTAGTTTTTAAGCTGCTTTGACCAAAGTACTTTTCATATTCTTAATGCCACAGAGCATCAAAACGAATTAAAATATGGGAAATTGGACAATGTACATTTACTATTACCTTGTTTCTGACGATTCTGTTGATTGAAGATACAGAAGGTAGGGTATCCTGGGTGCAAATGCCATCTTTCTCCAGCCTATCTCGAATCTCCCAGGCGAACATAGTGGGGGTCTCGGCTTTGTATCGGTGAATGGCCTCCACGACTTGCGGCGTCGCCACCTTCGGCTTGGATCCCCCAATGACACCAGGTCTGATGCTTCCCGTCTCGTTGTACCTAAAAATATATAATCTTTGTGTTTGGGATGTGCATCATAATATATGTAAAGAGCGATTTCTTCAAAATAGAACTGAATTATTACACTAAGTTAATTATTTTAGTCATGGCATTAATGAATGCAAGATTTAATGGTTGAACGAATTCATCAAGGGTCTTACAAAAAGTTTAAAGCTGTCGTCATTGGGTCGAAACGTTTTCGGAGACACCAAATGTTTAAATGTAAAATGATAAATAAATTTGAAAAAAAATTCAAAATTAGAGAAGCTTTAAACATCTTTTTCCTTCTCAATCAGTTTGCTTCAGGATAATGTAAATAGGAGGTACCAAGTCATAAACAAGGGTGTTAAGAAGACGAGCATGATGCAATTTGAACATCAAGTTATGTTATAGAAACGGCTACGGTTCAATTCTAACCTGGGTTTTGGCCAGTTTTTCGGTTTAGCCTCAGGTATTAAGCAGACAGCTCAGTCAGCATAAAAGTGCCTTATTTTTATCAACTTATCCTCCATGACAGCTCTGCCAAGCTTTTAAGTCATGTAGTTTCAATGTTAAGAATGCTGACACCGTCTTTAATGAATGTGCCTGCATCTTATTCCTTTGTGTTCACACTTCCCCTTTTAAATGAATAAATGACATTAATTTAACTCTTACATCCTCATACCACTGCAAGTACTAAATGAGCTACAACCGCCACCGTTCACCGACATTTATTTTGATCTAACACTACCACCATTCACTCGCAAACGCTTTTCTCCCCCACTACAAAATTCACCGCGTCCTCCAATGTGAGGCCATAAAATTTGCAACTGAAGATGGACATTGCTGTCCGACGGCACTACAATGGTTCCTGCGTGGACGTTGATGTAACGTTTTAGGTTAGCCTTATCTACTGCATCCTAGCTCGTGATTATTAGATGCGATGAGCAGTCACCTGTTACTTGTAAACTTCCATTTTAAGCGTCGTTTTTGGCATGAAGTATTCACTAAAAAACTAATATCAATTGGCTAACTACAAGTTGCAATGAGACCTTCGGATTCCTAATAAGTGGTGTTTCGGACTATGGTGCACTCTCAACCACACCGCTAAAATAACAAATCGATCAAAAAGAGCTACGAAAATCAAATTTTTTGATGCTAAGGCCGTACATGGACTGTTCGTACCAGCACTGTCTCGAAATAAACCAAGTAAAATTCTTTTGATTTGGTTAGTAATAGTATTTTGGCCAATAATATTCAAAACAGTTCACGATTATAAGTGAAGGGAACTTACTTTAGGCGCTCTTTACGCTCAAATACATTGTTTAAATAGTTGCAATGATTTCAGCCAAGTGAAATTCGCATGCAAACTTCACCTTTAGCAAACACTCCGTGCAAAAGATACCATATAAGCATATCAGACCTCTTGGCCGATGTCAGTCATTATTAATTGAGAATACAAGAGAATTGTACATAAAAAAATTAAACGTTTTCAATAAAAATTCGTTGCTGCTCTAAAGAGGCATTCACCCCCGATTTTAAATATTTGCAAGCGTATAGATTTTCCCGAGCGTGATCTTGCAAAAATTACCTCATTTCAAATAAATATTGAGATTTTCATCGAAAACCCACTGATTTGTTCCTGAAACAGGTTTCGAGACTGCTTTGCCCCACGAATATGCATGAGCACACACTTGGACATTATGGGGTCTTGGGTTTATATCATTGTGATGACGCTACTGGTATCGCGTTCTGGAATTCTCGTACCTACTTTCAGTGGTGATTATTATTTAAGTTAAAACATACTTTAGTTTTTAAAATATTTGTTAAACACCAATGCTTTGTTGGATAATGTTTATTTTCGACTAAGCGAGAAAATATTTCAAGATTATATAAAGGTTTCAAGTAGTGTTTTTTTATTTGCTGACACTGATAATCTGAGCTGAAGGTCACTTAACTTGGTTTTTGTCACTTTTTGAGAGCGCTTTGTCTATCTGAATCCCCTCCGGACTGCAGCAAATCCAAGCTGCCCTACTCAGGGCATACCTTAAAACATCGTCCCCAAAGGAACGGCATGGTTTTATTGGTGGTAGGTGGTTACAGGGGCGACTTGGACTGAGCCTCCTCGGGGAGCCGTCACCAGTACCTATCACTTTGGTACTGTGTAGAACGATTCTCGTAGTACATTTTTGTGTATTAAGGTAGGTCATTATCTATCTAGACAAATACGATGAGTTCAGGTGTGAGTTCATGTGAGTATTGCACATGATGGCAATTCAGTTTCACGTATTGACGGAGCTTTTTTTAAATGGACTGACTGAAGTCTCAATGTGGTTAAAAAATATTTCATTTGTCAATTAAAAAAATCTTTTAGCGTCTTTAGAATCGCTTACTTTCTCCGTGAGGTGTGTCAAATTGATGATTTTACAAGTCGGTAGGCTGTGTCAAGTTTGGACTTCGTCACTGGCCAGAATACGCCTCTGGCCTTACGCACGATTAGGCCTGGCACGTTTTTCACACAGGTACGCCCCATCGACAAAGGGTAGATACAATAACAATTACCATGGCGCCGACATTGCCAGTTGTAACATTACCCCTTTTAACTGACGCATCAGCACTCCCCTTTATTGGCTCACCCCTCCCCTGCTTAATGTAACAAGTTTAAGGCCCATCCCGTGTCTGCTCCCCCACCCCGTGACGGCCACTCGAAGATTGTTGGTATTTCTACGACCTCCCGCCAATGCTACGCTCCGTTTACCTTATTACTAGTAGGTATTGTTAACGACCAGTCTAGCGAAACAATGTAGGGTGGAGGAAGAGGAAGGCAACAATAACCTCTGCCTATAGTAATCACGATGATACATTTCGGGATTATGGGATTAGAGGTTGGATGGGAGTTTACCTGAGAATATTGGCATTTCTAAAGGAAGAAAAAACGGTATTGGTGGGAAAACTTAAAGGTGTTAGAAAAATTCATGTGTTGGCGCATCCACCCATTCACGCACACACAACTACTGAAACCATTTGAATGCTGCTCATATGAAAACAAAGCCTACAGAAAATTCAGACGTTTTTTTAAATTTGAAAATGACCTGGCTTTCACTAGATTTATTTACATTTCTTTTAAATTTCAACTGAGCCTCAAGCGCTGGAAAGTGTGAAAAAGTCAGCAGGCGCTTCAGTTGACCTCTGTGTCAAACTGGCTACTTTTAAATGGTCACGCGGTGTGGTCGATTATCGTACTACATCAAAGGTGAGCGTGTCAACGTCTTCTCCAGACAAAATTTTATCAGTTGCTTTCGTCGCATTTAGTTGCGTGAACTGGAAATCTAGGGACTAGAAATTCACTGAAATGGATTGACCATTGAAACATGAAGAACCCGTGGTCACTACTTTCATATGGTGAGATTTAGTGAACTTACAAGGCTTACTAGGTGGAATCTACTCAAAATATATTAAAATAAATACTAAGTAGAACGAATTGGATTCATCTTATTCCATGGCGAATCAGGGCCTTGGACCGAAGACAAAGGACTACAAATTCGAAACCTTACCACTTCATTGCAATGCAGATCTGTAGTCTAGGGTAAAAGGACACTTTGTTCATAGTTATGAGCAGGAGATTTATGTGGTTCAGTCATGCCAACTATGCAGCCGCGGGTGATCGCTCAGTTGCGCGACCGTCAGTAACGTTGACGCAATCACAATGAAACGCATTGGTAGTCGATTAGCGTTCAGTGGAGTCAGTAAGCCCTCGGACACGACCGTGGTATGCCTGACTGAATTCGTCGCACTACATTTCGACGGCTTGTTCGCGTTTAATGCGCCGACTGAACAGTTTGGCTTGACCTGGTCTTGAGACTGCCTCCCCCTGCCACTACAGCCCAGCAGCGCTTGGGAACAAAACTGGGGCTGCTGCAGGAGTGCAATGTAACCATTGCCCGACTAATGTGCGCGTTAATCTCTACATTCGTAGGCACAAGCATTTCCAACACCTCGCTGATTTTGTTTCCCAGGGGATACTATGCAGAAGGCAGCAACTCAAGTTGGGGAGACACTTGACCAGCGTAAATGACCGCTACTCAGTACTTCCAACTAATCCGATTGCGACTTGAGCGCTGATTATCGAATCTCCCCCATTAGCACGTCGCGGTTAGTTAAGGACCTGTGGCTTTGAGATTGAGGCCTTTCGTAAACAAGCATTTTGACAAGTAACTTGATTGATCTACTTGTTGCTTTTTCTTGTTACACCACTTCAAAAATCTCCGAAATTAACTTCGCATTATTCAAGGTCGAGTCGACATTACATTTTACTCTCTCTTCCTGTTATCTAGTAAATTCATTAGTATCATTCTCCACAAATAATTGAAGCAATAGAGAGAAGAAAAATAACTTAAGAGATTCCTGTAATGTTAGGACAAAGTTATTGGCCATAAATATGTAAAAGGGCTATCTGAGGCCTTCATCCTCGGATACTACCAATGAACCAGCGACTTATATTGCAGCCCATGCAGATAAATCTACTGGCGAACATGTACTTCGCCAATATGTGCAAATATTACTTACATCGTGCTCCCCTTAGCACTGCAGACTTACATGCACAGTTTATTTTATGGGGGATGAAGTCAGACAGGCTCTATTCATGAGCGGACCACTTACCTGCAGAGAATCTTGCTGACACATCCATGTGAAACTCGGAGTCGTCGACTTATGTCGCAAGGACGTACGTTGGACTGAGCCATCTCAACTATTTGTTGACGAATTTCATCTGGTAGCGGCCGTCCATTGACGAAGCTCCCGCCCAACTGATTCACATTCCCATGGGCTACAAGGTATAAGATATAATTCAAAACCCATCAATTTTAAAATGCGCTGGGTAGGTTACCATTATGCAAATGCCTATGCCACCAAGTGGTAAAGTGCACGTTGGTTTATGGTGGTTGCTTTTGCATAGTTGAACACGTCATTGTCAAGACACCAATGCAAATCCGAGAGTTCGTTTGTGCCACTGAAGACGTCATTCGGTTTTGCAAATTCCGAATGTGAAAATAACCGGCAGGATTTTGCCTCCGATCTCCCAGTAGAACTAGCATTTAATAGCATCAATCGCTTTTAAAATCAGGCCCCAATTGTATCTTTTGAGGAACGTGCATGCGGACCAATCAGGCTCATGGGGACAACAAATGGTATTGATGGACTGATTGGCTTGTAACTACCTTCTGATTTGCCACTACATATTGGGCTAACTTCAGCACATTTAATAAAGTATCCTTTAATCTGTTCTGAAGCCGTGCAAGCTATCCCATGACTTGACAAGTCTATCAGTACAAATGAAAATATCCTGATGAAGATGACAACAATGTGTAAATATAAGTATCTTTCTGTGGAGGAATCAATAACAAACCATCTGCATCGAACTCTTAGGGATCATAAGTGAGTACATCCAATCCAGAAATGAAGTGAGTGATTGCAGACATACCATGAATATAAGTAACGTAAATCAATGAAAATAGGCAAAACGACCTAGGAAGTACCTAACTGGTATGGTAATGGCCAGGAAATGATTGTGTAAATCGGTTTCCCCATTGCTTGGAAAATCTACAAGCATTCTAAAGCCGCAACTATTGGGTTCTTTTCAGGCAGGCAGAAGGTATCACCCCGCTCCTCAAAGAACACTTGTAAAGTCCCTAATTATTCAGGTTCCGCTGCAAGATAGTTAAATATTCCCGAGAGTAAAAAAGGATAAGAGGCAATCACGTAGGTAGGGCGGGAGGCAAATGTGGCTTTCCACCTTAACCCCACTCCTTCCGCGGACATAATCCCTTTGAGGGAGACCGAAAATCAGAATAAGAAAAAACAGGGTAACGGAATATCTAGCCTTAAAAAGAGGGGGAAAGTGTATGCTGTCGGCATTTCATCCGTCTTAAGGTGCTAAAATCACTGCATATGGGAAGAAATTCATATGGCTTGACAGTGCAGCAAATTAAGTAATTTCTACGGGATAGGTGCTGACCTTGACCAGTTGAAACCTTCTCTAGAGCTGAGGTAAAAAGATTCAAACTCGACGTAGGGTAACGGACTTTTTTTCTTTTACGAAAATAAATATTGCCTGCTTAAACGGAACCGTGAGTCAAGATCCATTTAGTTTGAAGAGATCGGCATGTCTGATTGCACTTCGAAGCTGTTCGAAAGTGATATATACATATAGTCCATAAAATCAATGGGAAAAATCGTTTAACAATTGGGAGAAGTTTTAGCAGGTCAGTAGATTAGAGTTCATTGCGAGTTGCGAAGTAACACGTAACCTAACGCAAAGTAAATTAATAGTGAAAGCCATGTTCCCCACACTACCTGCTTGTGTATCCAATCATAAGATTCCGCAATTGCAGTGCAAACAAGGTTATTGTGTTTAGATGCCTTAGAATTTTGCCTAACCGCTGCAAAATACCGACTATGGATTAAGCTCTTAACTTGGGTAATTTTTTCTTATTGCGTTCTACGTGAACTCTCGTGCTAAGCAGCTGAATTTAGCTTCGAGGAATAACACTTAGGTTTGATTAGAACAAAAGCAGACTCACTAAAGTCCATTTGGTTATTTTGTGCTCATCCCTAAAAAAGCTGTTCCTGACTCGCCAACGTGGTAGCATAGCGCAAATTGTTCGAATGCAACCATTCGTAAAAAACCTGGCTCCACCAGGAGTTTTGTTTAATCTCGACACCGATAACTGCTTCAAAAAGAGTAGTTTGGTTTCTTTAATACCCACCAATGAAACTAAATCAACATATTAAATATAACTTTCAAAAATATCAAAAAGACAAAATAACTCAGCACACTCTTTTCACTCGATGATTGGTATCATGGGCAAATAAGAAGTGCTTCATTGTCTTTAAACGGGGTTTATAAGGGATTGATGCATGTGCAACTACCAAACAGTATGCCCTTCCCAAGATGAAATTCCACGACTTTTTTCTTCCAAGCTGCTTCCTAACACGTCATGTGTATTGCGTTTTACACAGTAATGTAGGCTCTATGCTTGATGATTGTACCAGTCCAATGTCGGCAGAACCTATGATTTATTCAGCAAAAGATTCATCTCACCTCAATCTATGGCGTTGGTTTCGTCTCCATAAAATCACTCGTGGGAAATCTAGCTTACATGTAAGCACAAACGCCTGTTCAAAGTTCACCTTATTAAAACTGTATGGAGAAAATACACGACTTTATTAACACCAGCTGTTTGCATATTGAAACCGTGAAGACCACCTTGATTGGGGTGGACTCGTACGCACACACACACACACACGTATAATTGCGCTCATTTTTAATCACTCACGGGACACTGAGGAGAGGGGATGTAGTTAGAACTAGAAGCATGGGATTAAAATCTCATACTTTTCAATTTCTGCTAAATGGTAGAAGAAAATATTGCGTGAGCACGAACACTTGGTCCCACATTAATTGAGTCGTGCTGTTAGAATGTATTGTCTCCGAATCAATACATTTATAAAATAGGTAGTCGGGTGAGATATTCACAACCCCTCAAAAGCACACAATTTTATCCGCGAAATAATTAGTTTAGAATAAACGAAATGAGATTTACTTCGTACTTCGTCGTGCGGGAAGGCAAGATTACCACCCTGGACACGTAGGTAATTTTTGGAACATTAATTACGTGGTTATAGAAGCACCAGGAATGGGTATAACCACATTTCATTGCTTTTTAGTTATAAATAATTAAAAAGCTGTTTAGTCTACCTTCACATTTGCCGTAACTGGGATCGTTAACTATTAGTTTACGCTACGTCGTGATTAATGTTAGTCATGCTATGCGTCTAAATCGTACTTTCGATGGATGCCTCCATTGTCACTTTGACTACGAGGAAGATCTCATCATAGTATAAGTGACCACAGAAATCACACAATAACTTAGGTTCATTTTCCTTGGTTCACCACAATAGTCTTGACGCAGCAACCGAAGAATGCCAGTCAAAGCGTCTATTTGATTCCCACACCTTGTATTTTGAACAACACGACAGTCTGGTTAAATCTACTTTGGCCTTGGTTTGACCTATTCAAATTGATACCATCATCTACCACCTAATTTGGCTTACTGCTTCTGCAAATGCCCACGCGCTTGGTTAAACCAAAGTGAACATGACTGAAAAGAAGCGCTGCTGGCTTGAGAAAGGTACTCCGTCATGTGGCAATGACCTCTGCTCATGTTCTCCTGAACTGTCGGATAGTCCACCTGAAAGACCTTTTATTATTTTCTCCGTGAAGAATAACGTCCCCTCAAAAATTACCACGTGACAGATTTGTTGATTTGATCTGCTATATTACGTTTTCTTAAACAAAAAAACAGCTTTACCGAACCAAGGTCATGGCAATTCAAAAGTGAAGCTGTAATGTTTTGGGAGTTATAAACGTTAGCTATTTAAGAAATATTTTCGAACATATGAACACAGACACCAGAATCATTTCCAAAAATTCGTCTTGGTTTTCGTCGAATTTTCGGGTGTAAGCATATTTTTTTGGATATTTTTAAAATTCTGAGTAGCAACGTATGATCTTCTCCTTATAATGCCCGAGGTTGAACTCAAATAGGCGCAAAAACAGCCAAAAGATTATAAATTATCATACATAACTTTGTCCTTGTTAAGCAAGTTCAGTCAGTGAGCGATCGACTATGAATTAAGCCGGCTCGAACAAAAGCACAACGGTCGAAGTTTCCTTTTATGTGATGTTTTAGTACCAGCCCTGCACAGTTCATTAATGAATCCACAGTGTATAACTCTTCTTAGAATTTATTTCGTGCAATACTTTTGCCTACCAGTGTGTCTTCTAACCACATTCAGGCTTACTCTTCTTCCCACTACGTACTTTACCACGGGCCTTGAATGCCACTGACTCCCAATATAAACTTCATCGGTTAGTCCCCTCTCATGGAGTAACAAACTGAATCTGCCCCATTCCAATTTTTCTGTTTAGCAAACTTGTTACAAGGTGCACGTGCCTGTGCGTCCGGAGGAGTGACGTGAATCATGAATACCAGGAAATCCAGCAGCCACCCCCGCAGCAACACCGCTGGCAGCTGTGCCGGTAGGACGCGCCAGTGGCGTGCGCGCATCGTGTGTGGGTGCGCGTGTGTTTATCGCTTCGTCAGCAGCACAATCTTTGCTTGGACGACGTGTGCGACTTGCCTGCTTCCATGAAAACCCTAATCATTTAAATTGCATTACCTGCCAGAACCAACTCCTTCAAAGAAAAACGTTATGTTTGGCACAAAGAAAACAGGATTCAGTCAAACCACAAGGAGAATGCTCTTGTGGTTTGACCCAGTAAACGAAGTCCATCATGAGACCTTATTCGGAAAGGGTTGCAACTGAAGGCAAAGTTTGAAAAGTAGTCTCGAAATATACAGGTACTTATAAAACACAAAATTTCAGTAAATGACGTCGATAAGACATGATGGACAAGTAAGGAGGAGGTATAGTGTACGACCCCGTAACTTGAGCTGGCCAGATAAAATTTTATTACCTGGTTTATCATGAGTTCCGGATCGATCACGCTCAAACCAGGGGAATACTTGAAAAACCGACGAGCTTCAAAGCAGTACCCAATTTTACGAGAACATAGAAGTGTCTTGCAAATCTGACAGACTTTTCTGGCTGAGCTAATTTCAAAGTCACGTTTTCACACATTTAAACAGGTGTTCAGCGGTAACGCCGAAGAATTCGCCTTTTTACAAACCCAAAACTACAAGTTACATGTAGCAAATAGATTTGCTACATGTCACCAGGTCCTTTTCCACCAGGTTGATTATGTCTCATGTCTTCTTCTTGGATATTGGCCACAGAAGGCTAAGTAGAACAGTGGCAAAGAATGCGCCGTGGAAAACTGAACCAAAATAGTTCCATGGTCAGGGATTTAATCTCGACTTCAGTGCCATGTTCTTTAATCGTCAGGTAGCTTTTTCATAGATCATACCAGGTGATTGGCAATTTTAGAGACAGCGAGAACTGGAAGTAGGACATTTTAATGTCAGAGCATTGTGATCAGTCTCCTGAAGGACAAAATGGTTGCCAAAGACTTCGACCACTTTGAAAATTATTCAAATGTATGACATTTGGACACTTACAGTGGTTTGCTCTTCGGTTCCATTTTGCTGACCAGCATTACAGCATAGAATCAAAAAAGTCATTGAGACAAATAAATACACATTGTGCTAGCACACATGAATCATTATTTAAAGCCACGAGAAGCTGTCAGACATCCCAATTGTGTTACTCACGCTTCAAACCATGGACACAAGATACAAACATAATGCAATGCTTCAGGGAAAGTTGAAGTCATATTTGCTTATTAACTGTAAACTGACAAGTCTACGGTCGCAGTCTCTAGCAACCCTGAACTATTTTGGGATTTTCATCCCCAGTGCCGAAGTCGCCCTGAGCCTACTTAAACAGACCTGCCTTTTCGAACACAAACATCTAAACATGAGACACGTGCTTGCGTAGAAGAAGTCAGCTAAATAATAAAAGAAGGCGTACCCCTTGCTTTCCCAGACCTTTTTCTGGTGCAAAAATCCTCAAAGTACTGCGCCTGCCTGCACACCGCAGCAGCGGCCATGGTCGCCGCCACTGTCGCGTAGTCCGGGGGTTCGCATTTTGTCTGATAATCTGGATGCCACGTCGTCTCAAAACCCCCTGTCCCACCACAAAAGCCCCCCGACTCCCCAACCGGGCTGCCGTACCTCGTCTGCGAGTGGCCCTGGTTGCCTGCCCCGCAGCCCAGAACCTCGTCTGGGGAGCCCGTGTGCCGAGGGTGGGGATACACAAAAGGTGCAGCTGCAGCCGCCTGAATGTACGCGGCGTCCTTAAAACCGGGTATCTGCCAGGGCAGTTGATTTGTACTTGTGGTGGGGCTATCATTCATCGATTCTGAAGGAGGTATGCTGATTTCGGCTTGAGTTTGCTGATATGACGCTCTGTGGTCCCAGAAATTCATGCTACTTAGACACATCACAAGAACACAACAAAGCTTGTTTAGTCAAATAGAACACTCAGGAAGTTTGCAACAGGCAGCAAAAACAGGGTGTTAGAAGGGAGGATTAAAAGGGGGGAGAAGGCACGGGCGAAAGCTCTGACAACTCGAGACTCCATGGTGTGAGCACGGACGCGAGTGGACTGGTTACGCCAATCAGCTCCTTAGCCATCTGACCAATAGAGAGTGGCCAAGGTACCCTATTTCTGTGGGGAATTATTTTTACAGTGAATTTTTATCATTAGTATTATTGAGTCAATGATCACTTCAATCATTTTACATTCTAAGTGTCTTTGTTGAAAGAATTTTAAATTATCTTGATGATCGAAAATTTGGTAAATTGTCACTTTTGAAAATAGAGTGATTTGTGTCCTTTAGGGGTTCCATTTAAAAAAAATTGTAGACTAGTCTACCATCTAAGCTCTCTTTTAACCCACCTAGTGGTCCACTGTCATGGTTGCAACTGCACACTGTTATACCTTAAGACAACAAGGAGCTTTCCGACCGTACCTAGCTGCAGATTGCCATTCAGCGTAAGATGACGTTACTTGCTATGTATTTTTAAAAAAAATGAGCTATCCCCTTAACTAGTGTAACAGTATTTAAACGACAGTTTAATTCTTCTCATTACGCATTCTAGAAGGTGTGCTTTAGGAAGGTAGAAATTTTTCCAATTTTTTGCTTCTTATTAGCGTTTGGCTGGGATTCACTCATGATAATCGACATCCCTTACCTACAGGTGAAAGGAAAACTTTGCCGAGCACTTAACGGACCAACGCTTACGTTCATGCCTAACCGAGTGGCAAGGATTTACATAGTGACTGATCGCATAATTGTAACAAAGCTAGACTTTGGATTAGCCAGTGATTCGAGGTTCATTTTGTCGTAAGACAGAACAGGGTGACACGTAACATATGGAAAAAAAATCAAGAGTCAATCTAAAATTAAATCAAATATGACCCAAGGAAGCTGTCCCGTCGATAAACCCCGCTATAACTTAAGGCGAAATTTGTGGTTTTTAAGTTCACTGGACTAATTTTACTACTAGGTTATCCATCTTATTTCATATAGGTCAGAGCTCGTGTTCGCCCAGATAGAGGGGAGATTGAAAATCAGTGTGATAATTTTCGGGCCCCAATTGGCAACGTTTTGTAAGCAAAGGTTGAATGTTCTGAATGACACACACGTGATTTTGCATCAGCCAAAACTCATTAATCTAATCTAAATGCATAGCTGACATTTGTTGCCAAAATATATTTAAATTAGTAACCACATGCCAGATCCAAGCTTTCGGTTAAACACGGCGCTGAGGCAAACTAATCCCCTTGCATCTGATTGGGTGTCTCATTTGCGCAAAAGCGCAGCGAACCGTGACCAGGCGGTGCTTAGGATTGGCGCGTGTGCTTTTGCGTCCGAACGCTCATTTTGACCTCCCGTCTGGAACCACCGATACCGCCAATATCACTGTTTTTAAAGTCACAGAAATTTTGGTCTTTGTGCAAAATCTCGTGCCGATGAAAACACACACAGCACTTAAAGCCAAGTTACTCCTACTTCCTCGAATTGAGTAAACATCAAACACACAAGCTCGACTTACACTTCCTAGCCAGTTCTGTTTACGCAATTTTTACTCAAGCCCTGGTTTATAGCATCGGCCAAAAGTAGTGCCCAAGGCCCCTTTAAATGTGATAAGCTAGTAGTTCAGTGAACGACATTAAAGTCACGTGCAATTGCATCTATGTAGATCAGATGCCCAGATCATCTGCAACTAATTCTCTAAAATGACTTTTTGTGAGCACTTGATTGTCTTTGATGCAAAGAAAATGAACGAGATGCTGTTGTGTCTTTAAAAGTGGGCCTCGTTAGCGATCTAGAAACGTGTACTTGCCTTGCGGTATGTGCTCGTGTAAATGCAAAAGAGCAATTTAGAGATACGGAATTTAAATGAACAAGGTCCAATAGGTCAGCTAATTAAGATAAATTCCTTAACTATAATGGGCATTAATTAGACTTTGCGTCATTTGATGTGGTTGTAAAAGGTCATTACCTGTTCGAAACCGATTTTGCGACATTATAAAACAGCCGCACAGTCTCCAACAATATTTTTAGTTTGAGCTGTGATATACTGATTCTTCGATTTCCTAGTGAAAGAAATGATGCTTCTATTGTACAAATTGACGGAGAATTAATAAACATGCACAATGCGTTTCGTTATTTTGCAGTATCCAAACTCATAAATTCAAGCAATGTGCCACAAATAACGGATGGAAGGAGACGATGCTGAAGTCAACTTCATTTCAACTAATTTAACAACTTCTTACTAGAAAAGCATAAGGAGAGTCAAACGCTAACGCTGCTCACGTGAGCATTCAACAGATGATCCATAAAAAATTGCTGTTCAGACAGGAGTTGGCCAGATCAAACATTCATTAAAACGACTGTAAGTTCAACATTTAATGGACCTTCCAACTTCATATCACGAGGCAACAACTATGTGGTTGAGGCCATAATTAGGAGAGCAAAAGTAATCCCTGATTAAAAACGTGGTTATGGTTAAAGATACCTGAAGAGGTAGCAAAATGTGTGTATTGTGCAAGTGTAACGGTTTGAAGGGTCGCTAAGTGTGGTTGCAAAATAACAGTCTTAACACTGATGTCAAAGTTGAAATTGTGAAGCCTGTTTTCAATAAAGGAAACTTCAATATAACTTATATTTTCACTAATCAAAATTCGCACATAGTAGTTGCTTATGCACCGTGTATAAATCTGACTCATAAGTACTAGCTTTAAAAGGATCTTTTCCAGGTCCTAAAAAAACAACCCAGATAATAATTTAACCAGAATTATTCACGAAATACCGATGACAAAATATTTAATACACTTGTGAAGAGGGTTTTCCTTCTACACCCACATTTCGAGAGAAGCTGATATATAAAAAATTTAAAAAATTGACAAAATTTCAACACGTCGTCGGAATAAGCAGAACCCTGGATAAATCCAAGTGATTTTTCTCCAAAAACATACATTTGCTTAGCCTTAAAGCACGCAACAATGCAAATTTAAATATCTTACAAATATTGACTCATGCATAAATAAAGTTATATTAATTACTACTTTAAAATGCACACGATTAACAGTGTGTCCATGCACAATCCACCTATTACTGCTTTAACACCGAGTTAAATTTACGGGTAGACACAATTCAGTTTTGTAATTGGATTTTTCACCTTGACAATGAATTTCAGCCCAGGCTGCAATTATCAAATATGGCTTTGTCACCGCAGGCAGCAAGTTAAGTGGGCATTGTTTTATAAGAAATGGTTAATGAAAATAGGCAACTAGGTGCTTTGAACCCCTAATTTTAAATGTAAATTTGTCTTTTGCATTAAGTTTCTAAACAAACACCTTAAAAGCTGAATGTTTTGAATTAATTTTCCTTACTGAGTAAAAGGTACGCTATTAGGTTTAAAGCATTATTTAGCCAGTTCAGACGATGTTAATCAAAAATGGATTAGTACATTTTAATTGAAAAAGAAAACGAAAAGCAAATTTGGGGAGGCTTAAACTTTTCCTACCACCTATTATGGAAGAAATTGCATAAAAATGATGTGTTATCTCCTTGAAGGTAGTAGTTTTCCTCGCATGCAAAAAAATGTGCCGACCAGATTCTATTTCTTTCGTGACCCAGGGAAAATGAACATTTGAAACTTTAGTCAAAATTATTGCCTTCGTTGAGTGCTAACGAAACTCTGAAAGAAGTTAATTTCACAAATGCTTACTCCACCCTTGGGTAATTTTTTGCTTTACCTTCTAGTCATACAAGCGAGTGACCAAACAAAAAATTTAAAGTCAAGGCGGGGTTATGATTTCAGTGAAAATCTGTACGTAATCAAACAAACTTTGTTACATTTAATTGGCTGTTCAGTAATCTAAAAAAGTTTTCGATTGCAGTTTCTTCCATCGAAGAGAAGGGTTTTTGAGCACTACCTCAACTTGTTTAATATAAACCACAATGAACCGGCACTTTCATTACTCACAGTTATGAGAGTGATTTTAAGAATTCAGTTAGATGCTTAAGATTGAGCACTAACTTCACTCACCTCTTCGAGGGGTACGGAGTGGGTCCTTAAGAGCTCCACTGAATGTCGTCTCCTGTGAAATGCTCTCGTGACCAAACATGTGTACCAACTTATTTACGCGTAACTCACACACACATAAACAAGTACAAGAGCGTGCTTTTTATAGGCTAGCATTCCTATGCAGGCTGTCCCCAAGCGAGACCTTGACAGAGTTTACGTGCTTTCACTAAACTTGGAACATTTCGATGTGCATATCTTGTGTATGAATATCAGAAGCGAGCATCTGCCTCTTCTGATTATCATTCAACAGTTCATTTTACACCATTGTACTTTTACACATTTAGTTGATATTTAGCTGTGCTGAAACAGTTCACTGTGAAACTCCAAAAATGTACTTATCTTGCTCATTGAATCCACATTATTTGTGTAGCGATTTTGCCCAAGGATTTGACAAACTGCAATGCTAGGAGGTGAACGAGCGTTTTGGGCGCCAGGCTAAGGAGGCGAGTTGGAGAAAAGACCAATGATGGGTAACGTGGCACAAAGCTAAGACGTGCAAACTTAGCAGTTTTAACCCACGAAGCTATGGAGCTGGACAAATCGCATTGATCTTATTCTTGAACACCAAAGCCAGTTCCCGTTTCGTATTTAGTGTGATAAGAATTGCAAAGAATTGTTCAAACCTAGAAATTTCATACGAAAGCCCTCAGTCCGTTGTTGAAGGTAAGCGTTAGATTGTCTTTGGCTGCACAAAAGCGCCCATTACGGCGTTTGGTAAGGGCGTCAGAAGACAACGCAGTCCAATGGAGTAACGTATCCGAGACGATCTTGCACATCACATCCGAGATTGTGAACTTAGAATGGACCTGATGATCCACAGTCCAAAAACGAAGACCAACAA